TATCAGCGCACAGTTCTAAAGCTAGCATTTGTAATGGTATGGGGGTGCATTGGTGCACATGGCATAGATGAATTGCAAATCTTTGAAGGCACCATTAATAATCAGTGACATATAAAGGTTTTGGAGCAACATATGCTGCCATCCAGACAACATCTTTTTCAGGGAAGGCCTTGCTAATTTCAGCAAGACAATGCCAAACCTTATTCTGCGTGTATTACAACAGCATTGCTCCACAGTAAAAGAATCCAGGTGCAAAACTGGCCTGCCTGTAGTTCATACCTGTCACCCATTAAAAGCGGTTATTGCATTATAAAAAATAAGACAAATGAGACCCTGAACTGTTGAGCAGCTGAAATCCTGTATGAAGCAAGAATAGGAAAAAAAATTCACTTTCAAAACTGCAGCAGTTGGTCTCCTCAGTTCCCAAACACTTAGGTGTTGTTAAAAGAAGAGGTGATACAGCACAGTGGTAAAATGCCCCCGTCCCAACTCTTTTAAAACATGTTACTTGGGTCAATTTCAAAGTGGGCATATATTAAAAAACGTTTCAACATTTGATATGTTGTCTTTCTACTGGTTTCAATTTAATATATGCTGTATGATTGGTACATCATTACCTTCTGTTTTTATTTACATTTTGCATAGCATCCCATAGCATCCATTACATTTTGCATAGCATCCCATAGCATCCATTTTTTGGATATTGAGTTGTAAATAAACACATGCGCAGGGCTAAACTGCTGTAGGCTAAACCAGTGGATACATGTAAATATGTTGCAGATTAATGAATGGTACAATGTAAGTGTTTGTGCTTTGTCAGTCTTAGTTTGTTAAAACAAGGGAAATATAGTCTCCAGTTTTTAAGCTCACTCAGTAGCTTCCCTTTGCATTGTGTGAAAATTTCATGATAAATGGGCCAATAGAAATGCTCCAGATAGCCTTATCACAATCATTGCGTAACCACCTGATTGCAATTATTTAAGCTGATCAGTTATTTTCTATAGTTAGCTTTCATTGTCGTATGTATGTAAACTGGGTGCTTTTTCATCTGTTGGGTTGAGGCCAATGGATGTAAATGATTGAAAGCAGAAAGAACATTAATTGAGGCATAAAAAAAAACGTTCCTACCTCTGATTGGTGATAAATACCTTTTGAGGGCACCAGTGAGTAATATTTGTTTATTTGGGCTCGAGCTATTTGTCTTCTGTTGGAAGCTACTAAGTGTCAACAGCTATAAACTAAAATAGCTGATCAGCTAATTTGGCCACTTTAGACTTTACAATTATTTATATGGCAATTGTTAGCTAAAATTTTATAATTGTGATGGGCCTAGCTCCAAAATTGAAACTCTTTACATTAACTTACATTAAAAGTTAAGAACATTTTTGCCTTCTCCTGTAAAATTACCGGTTAGAAAATTTCTTGAACAGTAACAGTTTATTTAATTTATTATTTGAACATTGTCTTTCTTAAAGCTGGTTAGTCTTTAATGTGTTAAGTTACTGCAAAGTAACAAAGAAAATATGCTCTTTTGTATTCAAAGCATTATGAAAAGCTAGGTGTCACTAAACTTTTGACGAGCTGTGTAGATGCATGCGTGTGCGAGGATGTGAGGGTCAGGCGGTTGCTATCGGAAACGGAAGCCCGTGATTGACAGACCAAAGGAGATGAGCATCAGTTCAACATTTTACCCAGACTGGACCACCGGATGCAATTAGGCTTTGTGGTTTCTCTGTGCTAATATTAAAACGAGGTGCAGCTAGAAGGGGAGGGAGTCTGCTCTGGTCCACACAGGTGGTTGGAGACTAGACTGGAGGAATTTCTTTTAACGTTCAAAATGTCTCCCCCCTCAATGTCTGCTGAACTTTGAACCTTAAGCGAAAGTGGGTCCTTAACATTTTAAAGTTGCTTTACAGATGTCGGAGCAGTTCCGTTTAGCTGCTAACCTTTTCTTCATGATGTGCATGAATGTGATGGTTCAGTAGTTCATAAACAGACAGCTAGATTGGCATTTAGACTACATTTGATGAATCAGTGAACAGGGATCCAGTACAACACGATCCATCTTTTTCTCCTCCGCCGTGTGCATGCTTCCTGTCTTTTGTTTTTCTAATGGGCTTAATTAACCTCCTGATTTCTAGCCATTCCCCTCTGCATGACTCTTTCGCCTCTTCCGTTTTATTGAGATGTTCATATAATAAGGTATTTAAAGGGTCAGTACACTGGCCATGTTCTACACAGGAAGCATGCTAAACTGAGTGAATCAATGAAAGAGTGAACAGATGAATGGATTTCATGAATAACTGAGATATTACAGTCATGGTGCTCTAATCATTGCTTGGCGTTTCCAGTGTTTCGCTCTTTCTCAGTCTGTCTCTCTCACCACATTTGTGGTCAGTGAATTCCACAGGACGACACAACCAATTTCCTGATTGCTTGTCTCTAAGCCTGTGCCAGTATTGTTGTTTTATTGAGTCTGTGTACCCACATGAGCAGGGTCTACTCAAGTGCATTGACATCTCTGCTTTCATTCGAATGGCTGTTGTTCTCAGCTTCTTTTTTATTTTCTTTTATTCCTTTTTCTCTCGCGCTCCGTCAAGATCTTGCTGCCAAGCTCAAGCTGAAGGAAATTCTTTCCCCCACCAAGGAGGAGAACGTTTTTTAAATTCTTCCTCTGCTTCTCTCGACACAACTAGAGACAATTTAGTAATTTGAGAGGAATGTGTTTTGTACCCAGAGACGGAGAAAAGTGTTGCACTTTTGGTCTTGATTTGGGTTGACTCAAATGGTCAAGGCACACTGTTCTCATCTCTCTTTCTCGTTCTCTTTTTTTTCTGTCTTTCCTGTTAACCTTTACTTGAGGGAAGCTAATAAAGATGCCTCCAGCTGTACTTATAGTAACGAAGATGGGAGCACAGACCACCAGCGGACATAATTAGCCCCACTATTTCCTGACCCCTCACCACAAAATTTCACTCTTCCACAGCAAAAGTGGAAAACAGAAGTGATGTCCCCCTCTCTACTCTCGGTCATTTGGATTTTCTAATTTATAGCATGTAGGTGTGTGTGCTGCTTGTTCTCTGTTGTTGGATCATGCAGAGTTGCAGTCCACAGGGTGTCGTTGTTCTCTGTGGTAGACCCCCATCTGTGTGCTCTCTCTGTTTTAGTAATTTGGCATTCAGGCTTGCGGTTTGCTCCAGAATAATGCATATTCATATATGCTCTATAGAACATTTTGTTTATTGTTGCAGTTCTTAAAATGTTCAAGTTAGGTTACAGCTGTAACATCTGACAGACGAGCCTTGAACTGAAATGTTATTATTCTTCTACCATGTGAGCAAAACCATATGGAACTGCTGCTATAATATCTAAAGCTTATATAAGAATTGTAAGTCTGCAGGTCTGTACATTTCTTAGTTCAACAGCTCTCTGGTTACACACAAGATGAATGCTTGTATATGTACCCCATTTACAAAAAAAAGTTGGGACACTGCAGAAATGTAAATAAAAACAAAATGCAATGATGTGCAAATCATCTCTACATTTCAATGAAAATAGTACAAAGACATCATAGCAAATTTTGAAACTGAGATATGTTTTTGTTTTTTGAAAAATATATGCCCAATTTGAATTTGATGCCAACAACATGTTCCAAAAAAGTGGGATGGGGGAAACAAAAGGCTGGTAAAGTTGTGTAATACTAAAAAAACACATCTAGTGTTGATTGGGTATAAAAAAGCATCCCAGAGAGGCTGAGTCTTTCAGAAGTAAAGATGAGGAGGAATTCACCATTCTTTGAATGACTGAGTGGGCAAATTCATAAATAACATTTCTCAGTGTAAAATAAAAAACTTTTGCTTTTTATCATCTACAGTACATAATAACATTAAAAGATTTAGAGAATCTGGAAAAATCTCTGTATGCAAGGGACAAGGCCAAAAACCAGTATTTGCTGGTCGTCTTTGGGCCCTCAGGCAGTACTGCATTAAAAACAGACATGATTCTGTAGTGGAAATCACTGCATAGACTCTAAAACACTTCAGAAAACCTCTGTGGTTTGAAAACAGTTCATCGCTGCATCCACAAATGCTAGTTAAAACTCTAAAATGCAAAGAAGAACCTGTACATAAACAGGATTCAGAAATGCTGCCACCTTCTCTGGGCCTGAGCTCATTTAAAATGAACTGAGGGGAAGTGGAAAAGTGTCCTGTAGTCTGACGAATCAAAATGTGAAATTCTTTTTGGAAATCATGGACACTGCATTTTCTGGGCTAAAGACCATCAGGCTTGTCATCAGTGCACAGTTCCAAAGCCAATATTCATGATGGTATACGGGTGCATTAGTGCACATGGCATAGATGACGTGCACATCTGTGAAGGCACCATTAATGCTGAACAATATGTACAAGTTTTGGCAACATATGCTGCCATCCATACAACGTCTTTTTCAGGGAAGGCCTTGCTTATTTCAGTAAGACTGATAAATCACATTCTGCATGTGTTGCAACAACATTGCTCCGTATTAAGTGTCCGGGTGCTTAACTGGCCTGCCTGCAGTCCAGACCTGTCTCCACCACTTTCACCACTGAAAACATTTGGCACATTTATGAAATGAAAAATATGATGAAGGAGACCCCGAACTGTTGAGCAGCTGAAATCCTATATCGAACAAGAATGCGAAAACATTTTACTTTCAAAACTACAGCAGTTGGTCTCCTCAGTTCCCAAACACTTAATGTTAAAAGAAGAGGTGATGAAACCCAGAGGTAAACGTGCCCCCGTCCCAACTTTTTTGGAACATGTTGTTGGCATCAAATTCAAAATGGGCATATATTTTTCAAAAACAATAAAACTTCTCAGTTTCAACATTTGATATGTTGTCTTTGTAGTATTTTCCTTTGAAAATATGGTTTACATGACTTGCACATCATTGCATCCCAACTTTTTTGGAAATGGGGTTGTAATATGATTGTTTGTATTTGCTGTTCTCTTGGGTTCAGTTCTACAGAAATTGACGACATGATCCGAAAGTCAACCAACCTGCTGCTCACAAGAACCCTCAGTAACTGCTTGCAGTATGCCATCAAGAAGAAGAACGTGGGATTAGCAGAAGTGAGTACCTGCTTTTTTATGTGTACTGGATGTGCTGTGTGTGTATGTGTGTGTGTGTGTGTGTGTATGTGTGTGTGTGTGTGTATGTGTGTGTGTGTGCGCTTTAAAGTGAACATGAATAAACGTAATGTAACGCATTTTTCTTTTTTACCGTTTCTGAGTGAAATGCATTTTTAAGCAGGGTCTCTAGGGTGGCTGAGCTTTTTTGCTTGATGGTAGGTGGGATTGCTGAAATGTAATCAATATTAGTTCATTTTCCCCACCCACTGGTGTATGTTGACATACCTAAAAATCAGAAGATGTTTTGGAGGCCAAAAAAAAGTTAAACAAGATTTAAAAAGGTGAGTTTGGGTTTCTGGTTGACTTTAATGGTGGGTGACCTTAAAATAAATGTTTTTTAGCCTATCATCACTAGATTGCAAAATTGAAAATCTGGCGGTGCTGTGTATATGGTGATTATTGGCACAGTCAGTAAAATATTGCCAATGCTGGATTGTTGATAGTGGCCAATATTATTGACCAGCCAATATCTGTCAAACTTGAATCAGTTGAATCAGACAGAATGCACCATCAAAATAATGGTTCAAAATTAAAAAAATATGAAGAAAATGTGAAGAGTTCCATGAGTTAAATACACTAGTTGTATGTATATATGTATATCGTCTATGCAGATAAGCCTTTCTGAGTGAATTCTTTAAGGAGTAATGCACTTCTGCCTACTCCTTTTCTCTGTCCAAGCACACTTTCTTCACCTTCTTAAAAGGCCCCATCATGGCTCCCATTGGCGCTCCACACTTAGCCTGCCCTTGCTGCTCTCACTGCAGCCAGCTCTGGCTTTCTCCTTCGAGTGTGTTTAGTCTGTCCTAGCCATCGTCTTTCCTGAGATGTAAGCTGCCTGCTTACTTTCAGGCCCTGTTTATAATCTTACCACTCCAGATATAAAGTTCAGCTGGGTGCCATTGATTTGAAGCGAGGGAAAGCCATGGGGTGAAAACTGGGGGAGTTATGCTTATGATTTTGAGTTAGTTCATCAAAAGGGCAACCCTCTGCTTGCCCACTTTCACGCTACCCCTCTATAGTGAAAAACACTGCCACCCCCTCACCGTAATAAACACACATGCACACACACCTTTGTGTTTCATGCCAGATCAGATATCAGAGATCTCCAGCACAGGCCCCAGTTCGCCTGGTTGTGTGGAGGATGTGTGACCCAGGCTCCATGCCGGAGCTTCCCCCCCGCAGGGTGTTCAGAGGCTCGGGCCTGGGCTGAATTAGCCCCATTGCGCCTTGCATGGTTCCTGACAGCCCTGGCCTGCCTGTGCACCCTGAACCCTGGCCCACAGACTGACTGACTGAACCCAGAGCAGCCTGTGCTTTGCTTCTGTCCAGCCCTGTCTCAAAGCACAGGAGTAGCAGTGTGGGAACCACCTTTATCTCAGTATGGGTTACACACTTGCAGAGTAGCTCCTACAGTGTTCAGTTACCTGCTTAGCATATCACTTTGTGTAGAAGCACACTGTCTGTACTAGGGCTGATGCAGGTCGATATATTGTATACAGTGGTATTCCATTATATTGATTATCAGTTTTAGAAGTATTATTGGATAACAAGCATTATATCTGTGATAAAGTTTGTAGGATTGTAGGTTTTCCTTTCTGGAAATGTGTTTCTGTAGGACTGGCCTGAATACGTTGTATTATTGATTATCAATTCATTACACTGATATTTATTTTTCTATTTAGTACTCAAACTTTCTTTTTTAAGCCAGAGAAATTGTAGCCAAAAATAAATTTCCTCAATAAAGGCCTTTAAGTAGATGACTCCCACTCGCAGTAAATCATGGTTAGAAGCTAATTTGCTTATTGCAGACTGGTGATATCTGTGCTATGAGAGCTAATATTGCTGTAACAATTTGGAAGTGATATTATGCAGCCCTGAACCGTGCCATCATTTCTTTTAGCCAGCACTGGAACCTTGCAGATGTTGAGCTCAGTTGATACTGGCATGAATTAAAGATCACAGGTATGAATCCAGTTGATGTGAGTGTAAATGAGTTTTAATAAGTTACTGTGTTCGATTTATCCAGTTGGTTCAAATAATCGTAAACACGACTCACCTGGAGATGTCCTGTCACTACCTGGAAGAGTTCATCTCCAACATCACCAATGTGCCTCCAGACACAGTCAATGCCACCAAACTCTATGGCACTTCCACCTTCAAGGTAGGAGAGAAACTGCCTTCCACACTTAATGCTTACTTCCTGCTTGTATTTTATGTCATAGTTGGATGGTCTTTTTGTGACAGTGGTATATGTAAAATAATATATATGTATTAAATTAATACTAGTAATGGTCTGCATTCATATTTCTCTCCATTTGTATTTGTAGTTCACAGTCCCTTTTTATGTCTCTCAATTCAGTGTTTAAGATTTTGATGACATAACTGTAATGCTTTTTATTGGTGTGGGCATATGTAGGATGCAAGGCATTCGGCAGAAGAGGAGATCTACACTAACCTGAATCTGAAGATTGATCAGTTCCTTCAGCTGGCTGATTATGATTGGATGGCGGCCCAAGGGGGTGGGCAGGCCAGTGACTACCTGAGTGACCTCATCGCCTTCCTCTGCAGCACTTTTGCAGTGTTCACACACCTGCCTGTAAGTGCTTTTGACTCACACACTTCACATTTATTAAACAATTATTGATACTCAGTTATTTTCAGTTTTATGTTGTTAACTTTTATATTGTCACTTCACCTCCTCACTTTTTAGAGATACAAAACATCCGGACACGGCTCCTTTTGTCATCGTGCTTTCTTGTACTTCAAATGGGCATGCTCTGCTACATACAGTCTTCTCTTACCTTTCACACGTGCTGTGTGCTGCCATGTTCACATGTCTGACACACGCTGGAACATAAAGCTGGTGTTAGGAGAGTTAGCCGATCACTGTAGTGTTCCCAGGAGCCCTTGTCTATCGATCCCATTGCTTTAAAGGGGATTATGCCCACAGCACACTTGAACTCTGAATTGAAGCTAAGTGGGATCAGTGTGGTAAGAGGATTGGGGTCCACAGTGCAGGCCCTCTAAAGCCTCCTGGCTTGGCTGCCATGGAGCTAAAGAGAGGCCGGTGGCGTGACCCAGAGGTGCAGCTCAGGTTGGGGAAGTTCATGCCCTCTGCCCACCGTGGCCTTGACCCATGACTTAAAGCGGATTTAAGGCAGACAAAAGCGTTCCAGAACGTTCCCCTTCTGTGGGCCTCTGCTCAACATCCTCTCTTGCTGCATTACCAGGGCTAAAAGAGAACCAGTGCCAAAGCTGGCCCCTCGGTGTCCTCAGCTTCACAGTGGCCCCTGTTCCCTCACAGAGGTGCTGAAAGGGGCTTCCAGAAGCCCCCCTCTTATGTTTCCCTCCTGTAATCTCTTAAATCTCACATTGCCCTCTGACCCAGCTTTGGCTGAAGGGGACATGCCCCTTTTCAGTCCGGAAAAATAACAATCTGCACATTTTTGGGCGGATTTTACCAAGAGAGGCCAACGTTCGCTAGTAGTATCTCATCTGCACACATATAGGCACGCGCACATTTACTGGGACTCAGGCTTGCCCATGCCTTAAACCCACATATTTGTGATTTTTATAGTTCTTGTTTTTACACATGAATGCAGTCCAGTGACACATTTGGTTCTTCAGAATCCTTTTCTAAGAACTCCTGGCTTGGCTGCTCCTCAGCCCACAGCCCATACACATGCAGGTGTGAATGTGTGAGTTAGGGAAGGCACTTTGAGTTCATGATCCTAGAGTTCTGAGGGTGACTCTGAAGCCACAGCCCAATCAGTCATGCTAACACGCTTGACCTTCTCCGCCCTGACCGCTCAACCACAAACCCAGCAGTGACACCCTGAGAGACCTTCAGTGTAGACCGCAAACGCTTCAGCCAAGGTCTCATAAGCGAGTAGGAAAAAAGTGTGGTCAGCCAGCGTTGTGTGTAAATCCCTAAAGCACAGACATAAATGTAACCTTTGACCTAAAACCAGTCCCTGCCTCCTCCTCTCTCTTCTGTAGGGCAGTCCAATAGAGCACGCCAGACTGCCGGTGAGTATGGTTGCAGTGTGGGCTAAATTGCTACCATAACCTTGACTGTGAGTCATGATTGCATTGTAGCACTTCCGCATGTTACCTGGTGTTCATCTGACAGCTCACACCCTAAGCTGGACTTACAGACTTACTGTGTGTTGTGATGAAACAGTGGATGGATTTGTGCATTGATTTTTAGGTCTCAAAATTTTCGAGTTTTGGGCCCAGAAGTAGGATGGACCTGAAATCCTCAAATTGTCATGTTCCTCATTTCCTGCAATTTTGAGGAAACTGAAGCTTTGACTGATGTGCACTCTTTCATTTACTTAATACAAGGGCTGATTCCAACAGCATTTTACATTTTACAGCTTTGAATACTCATTGATAGTTCTGAATGAGTACTTGAATATTTGTTCTCAAAATCACCCTTGAAAACAACATTTTGGCTGACATCTGTCTGACAGAACAGCTTCCATTTTAATTAAAATTTTAATCTGCACCAACGGCAATGGATGTATGGCTTGCTTCAGACAAAATGCAAGCTAGTGTTGTTTGTTTTTTTTTTTATTCTTTTTGTAAATTTTTTTTAGTGAAACATGAACTCCCATACAGATCCCATTTTCTGTAGTGTTTAAACTGTATTTTTGTTGGTGTGGTAGTTGCAGAGCAAGTCCTGCACAGAACTTATTGGATACAAATGCTACTCTATGCAGCGGTGAGCATGTTTCTTGGCACCTGATATTTTAAAGTGCTCTCATTCATTGACTTTGTAGGCCATGTCTTGGGTTTCAAGTGCTGCTCTTTTTCTGCTTCAACAAAATGGCTCAGGCTATGGCTCATGATGAACATGGGGCAGCCAAACATGTTTGAGCTAAATTTTTTTTTTCCAAGAATAAGTAAAGTTTCTCAACGCTTACCATGCATCAGCACGCGCTCGATTCAGCCGAGAAGGTCCTGCTCCAATACAGCGTGCGTGGACTCAGTGCTGTTTCCCAAAACATGCTGCTGAAAAGTCCAAGAAAGCTTTATAGCCAGAGCAACTCAAAACTGCAGATTGAATCTCCGGGTCTTGGCAGGCAGTTGTGAAACGTGCTTCGCATCTCTGCTGCATTGCTACCCTGTTTACATGATATAGCGTTTTGTAGAACATGTGGTGGATGCTTCTGCAATGATTCGGATGCGTGAAACCACTGCAGCTTACCATTCAAGTCTGGACATCTGCATTGCCAGACGTTTCATTCATGAAAAAAATCCCCACTGCTTTGCAGGTTGTGTTCTAAGAGAGGTAGTGAAGATGCTCGTTTGCTCGATTGTTAGCTGATTTTTGATTTGTGATGAGTATAAATATACATGAAGACTTACACATAGCATTCCACATAACAGTCTATGTGTGTGTCTATGTGTGTGTCTGTCTGTGTGAGAGAGATGAGGGAGACCACCGGAGCTGTGTGTGGGTTTTGTAGTGTAAACTGAATGCAGTCACCCACAGCTCACATGTAAGCAATCTGATTGGACTGGAGAGGAACAGAGAAAGCCCTCCAGGTGTATATTGAAAAGTATGTGAGTGAATGAGTGTGTACATCTTTGTACTTCTTGTGGTCAGGGGTAGAAGTATATATATTTTAGCTCTGTATCATGAGGGAAAGGTCCACTGTCATTACATGCGCTACAACATTTCCAGACAAGTAAGGATTCAGGAGAAAAAGTTTAGCTATAAATATAAACCTAGAAATGAAAGGGCACATCCTGTACCTTTTGCCTTGTCATGCTACGCTGAAGGCATGCTGCTTGTGGAATAAAATGCAAACTACTTGAGGTATGGGACATGATCATGAAATCTCAAGTTCTCATCACAATTTCATTATATTATTTTGGTACAATTCAGAATATTTTTTTAAAATTCACTGAATGCACAGTTGTAACTGGAGGAACTATTTACGCAGTAGTGGAATGTAAATAAAATCAATACAACAGACTTTTTTTGCTTTTTGTACATTTGAAAGTAAGAGACCATCCTTCATGCATTTAATTTCCAGTCAAAATGGCCGTAAAGTACAAGTTATTCATTTTTCAGCATCAGGAAGAATGTAGAAAACTTAAAGTACTGTGCAAAAGTCTAAAGGCACATTTTTAAACTCCCAAAGCAAATACGAATAACATTAATAAGTAATGATTTAATGTATGTTAGTGTGTTTACTTAACCATTCCTCAAATTTAATACTGATAGATTTGATAACATGCTTGATTTTCTGTTAAATGTTTTCTGTCTACACTGAATAATGAATACCTTGTGCTTTATAGTAATTTTGACTAGATATTAAATGAATAATAATGAAGTTATTGATTTTTGTACTGTACTTTACTAAATATAATGTAACTAATGATAATCAACACAACATGAACCAAAAAGCCAACTAAAAAATAACTTCGCTAGTGCTTTGCTAGAATTATGTATTGTTTGGTTCTCCTATCAGGGAAACTGATCATTATTTACCTAAAGTGGGTTTGCAGTGTGGGAACTCTTGCGTACTGCTGGTCCATTTCTGTGTTTGCTGGTGTTGTTTATGAAAGGTTGGAAGAGAATTGTATAATGTTGGAAGTTCATGTACCATCACCTGTTTTTTTGAAGTGAGGGTAATGCGTGCTGACAGGAATCAGTTCGCCTCAGACAGCGATTCTCTGCTTCTTGTTAAGCTGTTGGTGTTAGGTATATATCAACTGTCTTTGCAAGCAGTGATTGGTATAGGTGTGATTTACATGAGTTAGCACAAGCATTTAAAATATGAGTGTTGTGAAAGTCGCAGTTTTACAACACTATCTCTCTCCCCTCTCATAGGCCTGGGAATGAAATTTGTGCTATGAAGTGACCCTTTAACCCTGACCTTCCATCATATCAACCTTCAACATCCTGCGTCTTTTTCTCTCATAAAGCCTTCTTCCGTCTCTCTGTCTCGCTTTCTTTCTTTCTCTCTGGTACTCCTGTCCTCTGTTCTCTCTGTTCTGTTTATTTTCACAGCTGTGTGCAACTGAGTGCTTTTTAATGAGTGCTTTGATGAGTCGTTCTTTAATTAAGCACACTGGCTACTTCTCACTCTTTCTTTTTCCCTCCTTCTTCTCTCGCTCCCTGTCAGTGCCTCAGGCTAATTGTTAACATGCGTCTGCCCTGAACTGTAAAACAAATGTGCTACTGTGAGAGGGGCGTTCCTCCCTTAGATCGGCCCCATGTGAAACCAAACCCCAAAAACATGTACACGCCTACAGATGCCCTTTGAACTGGTATTCTATGGGTACTAGAGGGAAGTCAGATCTCAGGGGTCATTCAGTGCCCCAGTTTAATTGAGGTGGACCTTACTTTGTCAATTTTGTTCTGTGTGTTGGTGTGTGCACATATGCATATGTCCTGTGTGTATCATGTTTTCCCTATATGTAATTAGATTAAATTAGCTTTGCTATATAGAAAAGGCTTCTATATTCTATATGTTCTTTAATTGTTATGTCAAGCTTCTAACCATAGCAGAACCCCTTTTGGCGCTATATAGAACCATTTTTAAAAAGGTTCTATGTAGAACCCTATACACCACATTCTCCATCAATCAGAAGAACGATTTTACCGTGCAAAGAAGCATGCTAACTATGATAGCTGCTATGTTCGCATTATTACCTCAGCAAACTAATACATTGATACATGATCCACTGATGAGATCTTTCAACACATGTTGACCATGACATTATCCCACTGCACACATCACCCTTGTTTGCTGCCCCCCAACCCCCTTTCCCCCCATAGTTATCATTAAACTAATTTCCTATTTCCTCCCAAATTTGTATGAGGATGATATTTCCAGATTATGGCTATTATTCTCTCTACGTACAAATGTTAAACACGCCAAATCAATAAACCCTTTGCTCCAATCAGACCGGATAAGGCGCTCTCATGAGTGATTATAATAGCTGCAGCAGGAGACAGGTACTCGTGTGTGTTTTCATTCCACTATAGGAAAAGAAACAACAAACAGCCACTATTGCTTTGGCCTACATGATTTATTATGGCTATTAAGCATGCAGAGACGAGTGGCCGAAAAACAAGCGTGTTTATTTTTTAATCACTGCAGCGCCGCACAGGCACCCTAATCATCTGTAATCACCTAGTTAGACCTGAAAGTGCTTCAACCTGATTAGAAGCTGACTGGGTTAGACCGCATAGTGAGTAAGTACGCGTGTGTGTGCATGCGTGTGAGAAAGAAAGATACGTGACAAACTGATGACCAGTGCAGTGTTTGATTATTGTCTAGATCCTAATTTCCTGTAAACAAACCATTTGTGTTAAATGGAAAAAGATGCTAAATATAACAGATGGCACTTAACACTTATCATCTGGACTGACTGACATCCATTTGCAAGACTAATCCAAACCAAGCTCTTCACTCCCCTCTTCCAAGCTCCTCTCCTCATTTAGACTTGTGCACAGACGTCTATAGTACTGTACAAAAGTCAGAGGTTACTAGGTCTTGCGCTGTTGTTAGGAGTTCCATTTTTTTCTATATCTTTTTATACATATATTTTTACTCCAGTTTTGGAAATTCCTGTTTTTTACTTATTTATCTTTGACTTCCCTTTTTTATGCTTGTGTATTTTTTTTTTATATCTTATCTCTGACGAGACGACAGCTGAAAAATATGAATAATAGTGATTAACTTGTACTTAATGGCCATTTTGACTGGAAAATAAAATAAATAAATCTCTGAATTTGCACAGTACCGTCAAGTACTGGAAAAGATATTGCCAAAACACACATTTAAGGCCAGATAAGACTGGTTCAAGAAGACAATATTTAAAGCTTCACATTGTTTATCCCAAATTCACACCAGACGTAATACTGTCAAAAACATCGAAGCATTGTAGTTCATTGATTCTCATTATAGATCGCAAAGCTATAGAAGTGAGAGTGGGCAATTTTAATGGATCTCAGGGGAGTTAGAACTTGATATAAAAAATGGTAAGGACCATGTTTTTTTAATTTGGGGTCATTTTAAAATGGTTTAAAATGGAGGTGTACATGTTCTATCAAACACTTCAGAAATGCTTTTGGTGTGATTTGGCCTTCAGTTCGGTAGACAAGGCCAAACAACAAATGAGATACCATGGGAGGCCATGAAATGAGCAGTTACTATTCAGAAGCCCACATACAGATACCACTTATTATGCAAAGGGACCAATTATCTTTATATTTATGAAGTGTTATTAAGATTTTTCTTGGCAATTGTAAATAAGAAGAATTATTTTGATCTCTGGAATCACACTTTGGGCTACCTCTGTGTGCCAGGGTATAAAATCTGATGGGCAAACACTTGTATAAAAGCAAAAGACTTAAAGCATAAAATTCAGTTGGTGGAAATATAGATTTTGAGGCTTTATTGTTATTGGCTCTGAAAATGTGGACATATTTAAATACCCCTATTATGCAAGTCGCTCGACTAGTTTCATTACATTTCATTAATAGCCATTTGGTCACATGATGGTGTAAACCAAGCCCTCTGTCTGTTTTAACTCCCAGTGAAAAGTGCCTTCCCAAAACCAAGCTTTGCTCACCTCTCCCTCCCCACTGCAGCTCACATTCATCAGCACTGCTGCTCTGGGCCATGCTCCAGTCTGGACTCTCGGCTCCACTCACTCCCACCGTTAGATCAATGACTGCAATCAGTGTGCTGGCCCAAGGCTTAATTGGTTAAAGTCAGTGGAGGGAGGAGAGCGCAGAAAGAGGAGGTTTGGGATATGACTGTACAGAGTTGCTAAATCACTGTTGTTGCCCTTTCTTTTGCTTTTTGTCTGTTGTTTTGCTTTCATTTTCTTTTTTATTGTGTCCCTCTGTCCTTCCTTTATGGTCTTTATTTATTTATTTATTTATTTATTTATTTATTTAAACGTACTTCACTTGGCTTATTCATCATGATATTTTGCACAATGTTAAGGGCAGAATGGTGTGCTCAAATCATGTGAAAGTGACTTTTTTTGGGCAGCGACTGCATGTGTGCATATGTATGTTGTGTGTGTGTGTGTGTGTACAGAATGTGTAAAATCATTTATCATGGCAATAATTGTGTCTTTGCTTGTAAAAACAACATATTAGAATAGGTGTAAATAAACAAGTACAGTTAAAAAGTAATCATTTCTAATTAACAAAAAAAAGTAGTTATCTTCTGAGCCAGTTTGAAAAACAAAGGTTGGTTCCAGATGTCTCATGCTGTTGCATGGATTTGTTAAAAGCTAAACAAACTTAACACATAAAACTGCTACTTATTTTATTATTTGTATTTATTGTAATATTGGTGTTTCTGCACAAACACCAGCTGCATAGATGAACTGTTTCTTTAATTGTAATTTTCAGGTGCCCAACACTTTAGCACAGTACTGTATATAACGCAGTATGTGCATACTCTTATTAGAGAAGGATGTGAAACCAGTTTGCACTCTGTCAGTAGAAATGTCTAGCACAAATGGTTTACTGCACCTTTCCATTTTTGAGCCGGTTTGCATTGGCAGTGTCATGTCGTGTGTACACATTCAGACACAACACACATACAGGGTTTGGACAGGGTTGCCCTTTTTTCATCATAAACTTAGATTTCTCTCCATGCTTTGTGTAGATTTACTGTGGGGTTTTTATTGAGCTCTGTGATTTACTGCGCTGTGCTTTGCCAGTGTGTAGACAGTAGAAAGTCCTCTTGTATAATAGTGTTTTGTTTTTTATTTTTGACCCGATTAGACAGAAATCCCACAGACCTCAGGCCCTCCACTCTTGTGTTTTCTTTTAGGTTTAGTATCATATTAAAAGCTTTGGATCTCTCCCGAAATATTACTCTGGTTGTCAGGAAAGAGCTGGACAGCAGACAAGGGCATATTTGAGGTTTTTGCGTGTCTGTGTGTGTCTAAGTTAGAGAGAGTGAAAGGGCAAATGCATTACTGTGTTTTAAAATTGAAAGTTTAATTCGTTTTTTTATAGAGTTAGTATTCAGTAATGCTGCTGTGTCTGTGTGGAAGGGTGTGTGTATGCATTTTTGCATGTGTTGATGCGTTTTATTGTGGTGTATTGTAACACAAGGTGTATGTATCGTATTGGTGTGTGTGCATGTATGTGTGCGTGGAGCATGCGTTGGACCAGTGGTTCCCATTTCTGGTCCTGGAATACCTCTGACCTGCATATTGTTGTATTCGCTCCTCTAGCATGGCTGATCCAACTAATTGGCTAATTATCAAGCCCGCCATGTGTTGAGACTGCTGTGATAGAGCAGGTGATACGCTAAAATGAGCAAGAGTTCTCCAGGACCAGGATTGAGGAGCACGATGTTCAACCTCAAATGTGGCAGTGACTGAGAATCGGAGAAGTGATTCTCCATTTGATGAAATTGGAGGAGAAATGGAGAAATGAAGGGATTATTCTTATACCCATCCAGTCTTAATTAGTCCAATACCATAACCTCACTGTTTCTTGTGTATTTCTGTTTTAAACCTTCAGTAGTAATGGACCCTTTTCACACATCCATATTTGACACAGGGGAACATATTATGCATACGAACATTAAAGTAGTGGCTGTGTTTACGAATGAGAGTGAGAATTCGCCTATTTTTTTTGTCCTCGTTAAGGTATTTACCTTTTTCTTTTTATTTTTGGTGAAATAGTTTACATTTTCAGAGAGGAGCAGACTTTAAAGAAGAAAACGTGAAACTTATAAGAAAAGAATAATAAGTCCTTTTTATTCTCATTTATAAATGCCACCACTGCTGTAATATTTACCTTACTATGATCTCCCCTTTTGTTGCATCCACAAGTGTGAAAAGAGTCTGTGTTTCGTTATAGTGTCACTTTCGTCACAGTGTCCTCAATCTTTCGTCTCTGTTTCTCAGATTCAGATGGCTTTATTGGCATGAATTGTAATTAACTTTTGCCAGTGTGATGAAAAATAGAAGTAATGTACAATTGAATAAAGTATATTCAATATATATATATATATATATATATATATATATATATATATATATATATATATATATGGAAGTCTCAACGTGGTCTCTCTCTCTCTCTCTCTCTCTCTCTCTCTCTCTCTCTCTCTCTCTCTCTCTCTCTCTCTCTCTCTCTCTCTAGGGAAAAGTTGCTCAGACAGCTTGTATGTCTGCGTGTAAACACCTCTCCACCTCCTTGCTGCAGCTGCTGCTGGAGGCCGATGTCAGGCAGGTATCCATGGGAGCGCTGCAGCAGTTCAACGTTGACGTCAAAGAATGTGAGAGTAAGTATTGTCTTGTTTAGCCTTACTGTAAACCCTTTCAGTGTTTTCATTGCGGGCTGCACTCACTCCTTTACAGCTTTTAATTATTTATACGGAAGTGGATGCCTGTGAATATTGAGAGATGAAGTAGCTCACACCTAGATTTTCTTTATTAAAATAATGTTTTTTAAAGCCGCTCTCTGAACTTGGCAATAATGCCATGAATATTATCAGCAGGCTTCATTTTTCAGCAGGGCTGTACATGTGTCTTTGTGTATCTGGAAGAGACACAACCCCCACAACTCCCCGAAGGCAAATCAGAGTAAAGTGAGAGAAAGAAAAAAGAATGCGTTTTTGGCTTATGACAGAGCTTTGTCACAGTTTTCCCTGTGACCACAGCTCAAACCGCTTTTGAGCATCTAATCCATGCCGCATTAATGGATTTCCCATGATCCTCGTCTCATGCGCGCCATCACCCACAGGTCACAGGCAGAGAGACAAAATGACCTTCCTGCACGAGACTACCATATCAACTGCGGTGGTTCCACCATCTGTTGCCTTTTTAGTTTTTCCCTTTTCCAACCAGACTGATAAGTACTTATCTCAATGTCAGTCACTTTTCAAAGTCTCATTGATTTGGAATGCTAATGCTTTCAGTTTACCAAGCCACAAAATTGTGCTTTAACCCAAACACTGCTTGGATGGAAAGTGTCTTAAACTTCAACTAAGGCTGAGCAAAAATAAATTCTATATTATGTGAGCACCAAAGTGATCAGATGATGTGTGCCTAGATAAATCTGTAAATCAGTGGCCTGCGTATAGCAAAAGCAGATAGGAAAAGGCAGAGGGGTTATTTGAGTGGAGTGTAATTGTGTTGATATGGTACAAAGTTTGCAGTTTAAAAATAATTTTATTGTAGAACACTGTTAATGTCTTGTTGCAAGGCCTGTCACAAGCCACTAGGGGTGCTGTGCATCTTTCATCATCAAAATTGTTCCGACTGTCTGCTGGCCAGGATTAATTTTTCATCAAACCGCCTTTCAGCACACTCTAGTATTGAGACCATTAGCAGTGCTACAAAATAGGCACAGAGTGCTCACCAGTGATGTAAAGGTATATAGGCTTGTGGAAGAAGTGTTAAAACAGTGTCCACTGTTGCTAGAGTCTTAAGACACATCTTGCCTTTGACAAACTCTATTCATTTCTTTTTTGCAAATTCGTGGTTGTAAGGATATGGCCTTTGTTTGTTTGTTTGTTTATTTATTAAATCTTTTGATTTTGACAAGGCCTGATATTACACGTCAAAGCTGTTTCTTACCTGTGGAATGGCGAGTGCACGTGCGAGTGCCAGTGATCATTGCGTTTTATGGCGGAGACGCTGGTATAAAAGCGTGAACAGGGTAAGCAGTCGCTGGCTCTGGGTTTAAGGGGTCAGAAATAAAGATGGCAGGCGTGTAATCCGCGTGAGAGGCGAGAAAAACACGCAGCGTCGTGAGGTGAAAGGGATTTCTCCCGGCCCCGGCTTGTTTTGTCCCCTCGTGTCAAATGTTCCGTTTTCCAGAATGGAGAAGCTGCTTGTTTACGGGGTTTCTCTCCAAAGACAGAGAAAGCTCTAGTGGCCTCATGTCCAACCCCCAGAAACCTCACGACAACCCTCCCTCCACCTTCACAACCCCTCCGCCCCCTTGCCTTTTCACAAGGTTTTGTCGCCCCCTTTGCCCTGTGCTGCGCCACATGTTAGGGAGAGCAACTGCATGGGAATCAGCCTCAGGTTTTAGGCTGCTGAGGTAAAGGCAGGCCCCCTTGTCCCTCACACCCCACCCTTTCCGTGCCTTGTCAGATCAACACTGGGGAGAATTAATGAGAGTTTGATGATGAGTTTTTTGGGACGGGTAGCACAAAGCCCAGTGGCAGACCCAGAGACATGACTCTGTGGCCCCGAACCACCCAACCAACCCCCCTCCTTCCTCAGCACCCCAACGCCATCAAAGCCCCCCTCCAATCCACCTCCCCCACCCCCACTGAACCTCCCCCTGTCCTCCCCTTGTCCCGGCTGTCATCCGTCTGCCAATCTCCCACTCCATGGCGAATTCCCTGCTCTCTTTATCCCTCTCTCTTTCCCACAGGGTTTGCCAGGGCCGGCCCGGTGCCTGGCTTCCAGGGGGACACTCTGCTGCTCGCCTTCATCGACTTGAGACAAGTAGGTCTTTGTTTTTTTCCACCCCTTTTTCTTTTTCTTTCATTCTTCTTTCTCCCTTTCTTCTGTTTTCTCCTGTTTACCCCTCGGCATCCCCCCCTTCTTTTTTTCTCATTCTCTCTCCTCTACCACGCCAATCCCAACCCCCTAAAACCTCTACCCCAGGCCTGATTTGTTTGAAGGTTTCTTTCCTAAAGTCACCCTCAGTGCGTGAATCTGTGTTTTTTGTATTCATATCTGCAGTCCCAGGGGTTCCGACATACACAGACCTTTGAGTGGTTTTGAAATAGTCTTTGTTTCTTTTGGTTTAGAGGTGGTCTAAAGACTTCGTCTTGTTGAGTTTAAGGTGAGTGTCTCTATGTAGGCTTTTTTACGGGTCATCTTATCCCATTTGCACCTTTTACACACTTGAACACGGAGTTTCACACTCAGATCATTGGTTGGCTGCCCTATGTCATCACCATACACTTAGACACAAGTAAATGTTCCACAGCACTGGAATGACATCAGGACTGAAAGTGCAGCAGTCCCTCTGCGCTTGCCTTTATTTGCCAAGCAGTGCGCTGACTACACTAAATCTATGCCTTTACTCACAGTATTTGTACAAGTATGTATCTAACCAAATTAAAGGGTTCTGTGTGTAGAGTGTATAGTGTATGTGCACTTGTGTGTAAAGGGGGATTAAGGTCTAGAGGGGATGGGAAAGAATAACACTGGGGGTATGAGGGTCCATATTTGGGGCCCCCTCCTTTGCAACCAAAGTGGCCAACCTGAGTGAGTGTCGGAGGCTGAGAGAGGATGACGGATGGGCTGGATGCTCGTGGAGCGTTGGATGAATGAGCTGACAGACAGTGACATATAGCTCTTTCTTCCACTAAAACAATCCCGTTTTGTCTCGCCTGCCATCATGATGCAGTGCCACTTGTTTTCCATTTAGGGTTCTTTCTCCAGAAACCTGACATCACCATGAAGGGGCTTGTGTGGTTTTTGCTTTGTTTTAATAAAAAAAGAGCAAAAGGAACAGGAAGCCTAAGAAAAGAAAATCAAAATCTGTTTGTATTTGCATAAATTCATGGTTTTGAGTGACTGCAATAATTCACCTGTCATGTGCCACTGGTTATCAGTGTTATCATAATTTCAAAGTGATGTGGTGAGAGAATATATACCTCCTTTGCTTCCACCGCTCCCCCTCCCTTCTTGGGGTGGCTTTTTCATGTGGTTGTTCTGGGGATCATGGGCATCAGAACCGCTCCGTTGACCCAGGCATCCCCCAGTGTGGCTGGCCCTGAATACGCCCGATAAATCAACCTGAAGGGCCCGTTTGTGTACCAGACTCCCGGGTCCTGGGATGGGGCTGTGGGTCAAACCTTCTAGAGACAGACAACAGAAAGGTCCGGAAGCACTGGGAGGAGTTTGGTGAGAGTCTGGAGCTTCGCTTTACACTCTGATCTGAAAAGAAAAGAATATGAAAAGAGAGAGGGCCATCCAGACCCAGCTTCAAAGACCCAGAGACACTGAGGGGTAATTGGGACAAATGGAGAAAGATTGACATGTTGACAGGAGAGGAGATGACAGAGAGGAAATGAGCTGAACAAAGATGAGAAAACCATTCAGTCACGTTCTCATTAATTCTTGCATTGATATACGCAAGAAGGACAAGGATTTCAAAATATCTATAAAGACAAAGGCAGACAGAAGTAGGGATAAAGGGAAGAACACTTGCTTCCCTCTGCTCCCTCAAAGGCCTTCCTTGCATTCTTGATCCTCTTCAGTGTCTCTGCAGAAGTGATGTAGAAATAAACAGCTGCAACTGCTATTGAGAGAGTTCGTCTTTTCCAACAGAGGGAGAGTGAGAAAGCAGAAGTGGGCAGTGTAAACAGTGCTGCTGGCTGTGGCTTGATGCTGCAGGGCTATATTTAGCGGCGGGGAGGCTTGCGGTGGTGGGAACCCTTGGCTGGCCTTGGTGTGTGGGAGGCCTGCTGGGCTCTGCGGTGTGCTGGCCCCCCTTCCTCTCTCGTTGGTGCGCACACCCTTGGCCAACGCCCGCCTCAACTCTGCCCTGGATCTTCTGCTTGTCCAGATTCCTCGCGAGGCTTACGGGAGAGTGGAGACTCAGCAGGGGGCTTCAGACGCCCTTGAGGACCTTCATGGGATACTGTGGGAGGTGAAGGGATCTGTTTTGTGTGCAGTACTTAGAGGAAGATCAGGTCATGTTTTTGTTCCGTTTAAAGAGTTGTATAGTAGCAGATTTATAAGACTTGGCTAGAGCCCATGAATGGACCTTTTCTTGCGGATGAAGACCCTCAGTAGTGGTGCTTTTGGTTTGCTGTGCTTTTCCTTGTCCAGTGCAGGAATATCTGAGCCAGACCTGTTAAGGGCTTTAGCCAGTAGTAGTTCATTAGGAGGAGGATGATCAAGCAAACAAGTCCTTATTTGAGTGCACTTCTCTCTAGCTTTTTCTCCCCACCTCACCATCTCTAAATCTCTAGCTTCTCTTCTACACCCCACATGGCTAATTTTATAAGGCAGCAGAGGGAGATTATTGGGGGGAATCTGGTTCCTCATCCCATAGGTTTCAGAGCCACGAGGCTGCTGTGCATTCCTGTGGTCTGTCCACAGGCATTATCCTAGAATTCCTGGAATGCTTTTAAAATGGCCAATGGAAAAAGCTTTTCTCCTTATTATTCCCTACCAGTCCTTCTCACAGTTTCTCTGGTGTTATAAGTGAATAGCATCACCAATGCCTCCAGTGTCTCTTTGCTCTGCTTTTGTTCCCTGTGCATCCTTACTGGTGTCTAACCCCGGAGAAACTGCTTGTGCCCAACTAAGTTACTTTGGTAACTGACTTCACTTCTGACCTCACCAGTCACCTATCCTGTGTACCACTTTTCACCTCACTGTCTCAGACCTGCCCCATCGAGTATTCGCATCTTTCTTTATAATTCGGTTCCAGTCTCTTTTAGTTTATGCTTTGTTCTTTGTATTTTAATGTTATATTGAACTATGAAAACCAACCCCAACCATGAATTATGACAGTACTACAACAACAATTTTTTAAAAATAACCCTGCAATGTACACATTTTCCAATTCTGTGTGTCCTGACCTTGCCATGGTGTTTCACGGATTTTTCTTTCTTTTGTAGGAGCCTTAAAAGTTTAAAAGAATTTTTGGTCTAAAGCCTGGACAGAATAATTTTTGATATAATATAGCGCTGTAAAAATGTCCAATACTCATATATAGTGAATATGCATTTGTGGGTGTGTGAATGTGGATTATAATTTCTAAACGACAACAAATGCAAGGCAGGGACAGGTTTGTGGTGGTAGGTTCAAAAGTTGAATCACTGGTTCAAGGAATATTTTCTTCTCTTTCAGATTTGGCAGCTCTGGAATGGCACTAAAGGAATCTAAAAAATGTTTCTTTTTCTGGTTAAACAAGGCAAATGACTTTTAACCTTTTGAATGATCATTCTTGTGCCACTAGTTTGGAAGTTTTGTTGAAACCACAACTTTTTCTGCCTATAGTGTAGCCTCTTTTTCCTTGTTTATTGCTACAGTGGGGATGCTTAAGAACAGGTCTCTGAAAACTTACTGAAGCTGTATCAGTGCTGAGAGACAGCATACTGGGATGCGACAGGCAGTCCTTATTACAATTTACTGTTTAATCCAGTCTAAGGAAAGTGGTGATCAAAGCCTGCAAATGGTAATAAGAAGGCCAATTCCAAGGATATATGAATTTTACTGGATTCTGCCCCTCTTCTCCACTTCTTGTACACTTTTCCACTTCCCCTCAGTCCATTTTAAATGAGCTCAGGCCCAGAGAAGGCAGCAGCGTTTTTGGATCCGGTTTATATATGGTTTCTTCTTTGAGTTTAAGAGTTTTAACTAGCATTTGTGGATGCAGTGACGAACTGTTTTCACAGACAGTGTTTTTCAGAAGTGTTCCAGAAGTGTTGCAGTGCTGCCTGAGGGCCCGAAGATCATGGCCAGAAAATACTGGTTTTTGGCCTCGTCCCTTTCATACAGAGATTTCTACAGATTCTCAGAATCTTTTAATGTTGTTATGTACCGTAAATGATGTAAAGCAAAAGTTCTTTGCTGTTTTACGTTGAGAAACGTTATTCTTGAATTGTTGCACTATTTGTTCATGCAGTCTTTCATAGAGTGGTGAACCCCTCCTCACTTTTACTTGTAAAAGACTCAGCCTCTTTGGGATGCTCTTTTATACCCAATCATGTTGCTGACCTGTTGCCAACCACCAAGTGTTTTATTACACAATCAATCATTACACAACTTTACCAGCCTTTTGTTGCCCCTGTCCCAACTTTTTTGGAACGTGTTGTTGGCAACAAATTCAAAATGGGCAAATATTTTTCAATGAACAATAAAATTTCTCAGTTTCAACATTTGATATGTTGTCTTTGTACTATTCTCAATGAAATATAGGGTTTAAATGATTTGCGCATTATTGCATTTTGTTTTTTAGGCAACCAAAAACAAAATATATTTTTAGCAAAACCATGTCATAATTAATGGTACTCCTGCATTTAGTAGTTTGTGTGGCCTCCTTTTGCCAAAATAATGCGTCTTTTCCTATAATGCTTAATGGGATGGGAGAATACAGAGCAAGGGGTCTGAGATCACTCCTCAATACAGAATCTGTCCAGATCCTGCAGGGTCCTCCTTCCTTTTTTTGCACTCTCTTCTTCAGCAAACCCCACAGGTTTTCAGTTGGGTTTAGGTCAGGGGATTGGGATCGCCATGTCAAAAGCTTGATTCTGTCTGTTTCAAACCATTTTTGTGTGGATTTGGGTTTATGTTTTTGACCCAGATTCCATTCAAAGAGTCAAAGATTCAGGCACTTACATTTGGGGTTAGGTTAAATAAAGGCTGCCTTCTGGCACACCTTCCAAGTTTGTTAACATTGAGGGGGTGTCTAATTGTAGTTTTGTAGACGTGAATCCAAGATGCTACCATCTTCACTTATGGTTTTGTTAACATCT